TCGTCACGAATCTAAGTTCTGGAGGATATTCGACCAAACTCTCAAGGGGAACAAGAAAGGTCACAGCCAGCTTGGTGATGAGGAAACATGACCGGCGACCAATCTATGTAGCTCTGCGGGATGGATGTTGAAGCTTTGATCTCATCAGCGAAGCCGGCGGGAATACATGTGTCCATCACTTTTGATGTCGCTTGCGCTTTTCCGCCAGACCTGACAGGGGTCAGGGTTCCGATGAGATGTCAGAGAATCTAGACCGCCCATCGAGGAGGTCATCTGAGAAAGTGTCGATCTGCGACGGGGTCCCCCCTCTCAGGGCTGACTCGGGCTCTCGCGAAATTCATAGAGGGGCTCCCGCTGGGTTCTTTTGAGAAAGGAAGTAATCCTCTTCATTTCGTGATGGTCTTTTGATAGCTTTGTCCAGACGTTCGATGAGATCTGTTCATCTGATCTGAGTCAGTAACCGTCGCCCGTTGCAGGGGAAATGAGGGGATACTGAATATCTCGTGAAACCAACAGCCAACGCCTGGGCTGGAGAAGAGATAGATGGACATGTTCGTGGACCGCCATCCTTTCAATTACACAAGGCATATGGTGAAGCTATTATGTATGGCTTCGTTGGGAAATACGGCTGATACCATCCGGACGGCTGCGTGATGTGTACTCAGGGAAGACCCAGCACAGAAAGTCGACTGAAGGAGCCATTGCCCTGAGATCTCAAACATCTCTGACTCCTAGCTCGATGGTAAAACTATACAGAACATTGCAAAACATCTGTGTTGTCATGAGATGACAGTCTTTCTAAGAGATGGAGGCAATATCGTTGCCTGGGATCTTTGACTGACGTCGGACTTCTCTTCGGACCCCGGCCAACAGGTTGCATCAACTTACCAACAGGCTGCCTGCTTGCCCGAGTGCGAGTATCCGTAGTACTGATTAACAATGGGGGCCTATGTTGATTACGGAGTAGCCCGCGATCGAGCGGAAGATGAAAGCCACAGGGGAGAAAGCTTCGATCAGTCAGGCTCGGACGTCATCCGCGCGCCTACTATGAGAGTGTGTCCGTAGGTTGTCTCCAGAGTAATCCCATGACAAAGTAGTGGCAAATTATAGGACTGATGTTTAGGCAAAGAGTTGGACAAGGATGGCATTGGTGGAACCTGATGAGATCTATATCCCACAGTGCAGTCTATCTCGTGTGCGACATTCCATACGGACGCCTGCATCCCAGGTCTTGGGCTGCTGCGCAGTTGAGATGCGTAGAGGACCTGGAGGGGTTGTGACCATCTATATGAAAGTTCTGGGGCTGTAGCGAGAGTGAAGGTAGCTGCGGATGGCCGCCGGGTCAAAGATTATACACTCAACAAAAATGATGGTAATCTGCGGGAATAGCAGTTTTCTTTTTTTTTCGCCTCTTGAGTCTTGACTCGTAGCGAGTTGCCTCGAGATAGAGTTTTAGGTAATCTTGAAATTGGTTCTGTATGGGCCTTGTTCCATCGCAGTAAAAGAATCGAGCGAGCAGGTAGCAAAAGGTGCGTGCAAAGGTTAATATGTTTGCTAAGATTGCGCATTTGGCAAGGTGGGAGGGCGTCGTGAGATTACCCGCTGTTTCTTGCTCTCATTGTGCCCCGGGCCGGAGCGGTATCCGCTCATCGGCATGGAATGCCGAACAGAGTTCTTGGGGAATTTGCTCGGATTTGGTTTCCGGATATACTGTGATGTAGGTAGCTGGGAAAGTTGTCCCAGCTGTTTGTCACCTTTGCACTCGAACCGAATTTCCGTAGTGCCATCCATGCTTGAGGTGAAAGACCATATCTAGCTTCTTTTTGATGCGTCCGTGTGCAAATCACCAATGACGAAGAGGGAAAGTCTAATTGTTGGGAGATATAACCAAGATCCAGACGAATATGATCGACTGGGCGGAATACTACGTCGAAAAAAGGGTAGCGAGCAGCATGACGATCCAAAAGAGACCCTACGAATCACGGTTCCGGGTTTTGTCGGTATTTTCGTATGGGTACACTTGAGTTTGAGAAAAGAAGCGCGGGAGAGGCGCGGCGGCGGCGGCGGCGCCCAGCCAAGCCTACACTGGATCCCCAAGGCGTTACAACTTTGTTGGCTGGTGGAGTTGGGAGTGGGAGCCGGGGGTGCTTGGCAGGAGAATTTCGAAATGATTTTGGGATTAGCGTCAGGGGCGGGAGGTTCGTGTTGACAAGGGTCTTGAGTCCTAGGCGAGAATCCTCTTTGGAGACCGACACTGGCAGTCTGACTGGCCTTGTCATGGGCCTTGACCCGTTATTCTTGAAAGAGGAGGGCTGCGGCAGGAAGAGGAGGTCTAGAATTTCGGGGATTTTCAATGAACTGGCTGTATGATTTGAGGGATTTGCAGCGGTTTAGGACGGGATGCTCGATGCTAGCTAGGCGCAGGGCGAAGGCGGCTATCTGCATGGTGGTCCATGGAATCACAGAGTATGGGTCGGGAAGTTTTTTGGCGGTTGGCTTGAGGCGAGGTGATGTCAATAACCTGGGGTCCTGTTAGAGAAGCGTTGGTGATATATGAAGACAAGAAAAGAAACCACCAGTCCGGCAATGGATAGGTAATCACTCAGTAACTATGGAGATGGAACCGCTCTTCTTGAAGTTCATCTACGGATGCAATTTGGTCGGCTTCAAAAGGTGGTTGAAAACAATCGTTGATGAGATTCAAATTTGTGGATGGCTTCATAGTTCGTCAGAGAGAGGCTTGTTTCTCAACTCATACCTTACTCGGGAATCGAAATGATGGTGTGTGATGAGATTCGTGTGGATGACAAAGAATCGGGAATCGATTCACGTTGAGATGAATACGAAAAAGGCGGGAAGAACAAAAACTTGAGAGAGAAAAAAAGTGTAATCATCATCCCAACTCGCATAGCAACACTCATGAACCGCCAATCTAGTTGCGACTCGGGTAAACGCTGAAGCGTCAAGGCAACCCCCGTCAGCGCTGACAGGTGTGACAAGGGATAGACAGGACGTTCACGCAGCGTCTGCAAGCGAGTGGAAAGAGAAACCGAGAAGAGAACAGACGGCAGCCGGGCAGACCAAAGCCTAGGCCCCAATGTTGAACCCATACGCGCTAGACTGATTAGGGGGCCGGCAGCCAACAAGATAAATTTAATGATTTAATCAAGAAGCTGGAAAATGAGCTGATGGCGGATGGATCATGGGTTGACAGAGCTTGTCTTTACGGCTGCATTATTTAGTTGCGATGGCTGTGAGTCTGCAGCTACGGAAGACTGGAAGTCGAATACCCTGTTCCCCGGATTTTCGGAATGTTCCCAAGCCTCGAAGCACTATCTGCTTTGTAAATCCATGGAAGAGCTGACAGACGAAAACAAAAAGACAGAAAGAAGAAGACAGTGACCGAGAAGAGTGGGATGTCGAGACCAGGTTCTTGAAACCAAGCGATCTACAGACGGTGGCTCATTGGTGGAATGCGCTACGGTGACCCTGGACCATCCACTTGTTTGACATGAATTAAGGAGTGGGCGGGAGGCCGAGGCGCTGAAAGTGGTGGTGCTTTTTTACTTTGGAGTCTTCCCTCCACAGTCAACTTTCTCTCTCCCTTCCCGCGTACGCTACGGAGTGATACGTCTCTGACCGTACGCTTGGTAAGAGACCGATAGGCGCTAGCAGGCTTGTTTCTCTTCTTTGGTGCCCCGTACTTCCGTAGCGATGGCCTAGTCTCTTTGCAGTTTCGCTGGACGGAATCACGGATACTATGCCTCGTGTAAGGCCTGGTCCATGAGCCGAGAGGCCCGTCGTCTGAAGTTGAGAAATAAGATCGGGTGTTAAAGACAGGGCAAGCAGCCACCCGCGAATCCGAGCTTCTGCATGACAATCCCTTCCGAAAGTCTATCCATTGCGTGGGCTCTTGAATGTACGGTTATTAGTGTGCAAAATCAGAGCTTACCAAGATGAACCTCTCTAGGGAAACGCTGTCGGCTATTGGGGGTGAACCTGGCAGACACGGGAGGAAACGAGACGACGGCTGGCTCTGAGAGAAACAACGGAAGTTTAATACAGAGTACTTTACGTAGTGGTCGATGGTATCAGGGAAGTCGAATGCCGTCATCTCCCACCCAAAGCATCTTCAATGGTCCCTACACTTACAGTGTAATCGACGGTTCTTTGCCCAGAGTCCCGGAAACCCTAGCGCTTGGTCTGTCCACCGCCACTCCGTCTTGGTCTTCTTTTCTTCTCGGTTGGCGTTCCATAGCGTTTCCATCCAGAGTGAGAGAGTCTTACTCTAGCCCGCTGGCCACTCCATGTACACTAGCCAAAGCCACCCCGGGCCCCGGGATGGACGGGGTGGGGAACAGTCGAAATTGCATCCTCCGCCGCGTTTGCTGTGGTGAAACGGCCAGGGAGATTTGACCAGCCCAGGATCGTGTGCAATCGACTTACACGCACATACGCCCATCCAGATTACAGAGAGGGGTTACTCCGTACGTACAGAGTAAGGAACCACATACTCTATTGGGTCCTCGTCTAGCAATCTAGCCCTGTCGTCCTCGACTCCTCTCTGCCTGTCTATGACTGACACTGACACCGCGACGGCGGTGCTCTCCCGAAATCTCCAGAGACTAGAGTCCACACACCCCCCTTACCTGATGCTGGTCTATGCTGGCCATGTTGGTGGTAGTGGTGGTGCGGGTTCCCAATATGGGCAATATGGGGATCTTGTTGAACGGCTCCATTCGCGCCATTGTCTTCTTTAAATGGAGGCAAACACCGCACCTCCCAGCTAGACACCAAGGCTTCCTCTCTTCTCTTCTTCTTGCGATCAAGGGATTGTTGACCATCTCCTTGCCCCAACCGACATTCTTTTTTCCAGACATTCGTTCATTCACTCATTCAAACAAAGCCTCTAGTCCCTTTCACAAAGCTACCAAACGAAACATACACGATCATTTACTGAACTTTGAAAGTTCCTGAACTGCTATATACAACCAGCAAACATGCGTTTCTTCTCCGTCCTCGGCTTCGCGGCCGCGGCCGTTGCCCAGCTGACGTCGTCTTCCCTCGAGAAGCACGTCGATACCGCCACCATCAAGTCCTTCAACCCCATCAAGGAGGCTTACTGGACCGGTCTTCCTCACCACCGCCGCACCCCCTTCGCCGTCTCCCCCGACGGAAAGTCGGCCTGGCTCGCGTACCTCGACTCCTCCGAGACGGGCGTCCACGTCCAGCAGATCGACCCCACCACCTTCGCCGCCACCGGTGACCCCGTCACCGTCTCTGGTGGTAAGGAGGCCGCCGGTCTCGTCGCCCACAACGATGGTTTCGCTCTCATGACCAACGAGGTCCTCTCCGGCTCCGGCACCGACGTCGCCATCGCTGTTCTCTACCGCTACACCACCGGCAAGACCGAGCCCACCTTCAAGACCTGGCTCGGCGGTCCCAACGTCGACGGCAGCCAGGCCATGGCCTCCCCCGACGTCAACGGTGACCTCGTCTTCTCCGAGAAGGCCGGTTACTACGCTGCTTACATCGTTGTCACCGCTTACCAGGGCGATGCCACTGGTCACTTCGGTGATGCCATCCGCTACGTCGACACCGCCGGCAAGCTCACCTCCATCGCCGGCGCCTCCTCCAGCTGGGGCTGCTCCCACAACACCGGTATCGCCTTCGAGGCCGCTGACGCCGCTCCCTTCGCCTCCATCTGCGCTGAGGACCAGGGTGCCATCTGGCTCAACACCAAGTCCCAGGGCATGACCAACGACAACGTCAAGATCTCCAACGAGCACGTCATCAACGGCGGTGCCAACGAGGCCATGGGCGGCATGTCCGGCTCCTACTCCAACCTCGCCCGCTTCATCGGTGCCGACTCGTACATCTTCTCCTGGGTCTCTCGTGGCGCCATGGACTTGACCGAGAACTCGTGGATGGGCTCCGGCTACACCACTTCCAAGAACCGCACCAACAACCGCAACGTCGCCATCGCCCTCTTCTCCGACAAGAACACCCTCGTCGGCTCTCAGGCTACCTCCGTTGCCGGCACCGCCGACGGTGACTCCCAGGTCAACTGGATGACCTCTGGCTCCAACGACTGCTCCAACGCCCACGCCGCCACCTTTGACTCCTCCAAGGCCCTCGTCACCTGGGAAGAGATCTCCTCCCCTACCTGCGCCTTCGACGCCATGGGCTGCCAGGGTACCTTCGCTGGCACCAAGTTCCAGATGGTCGGAAGCGACGGCAAGAAGATTGGTGAGGTCCTCAGCTCCGACGACACCTACGTCGCCGGCGACATGGTCACCATGTCCGACGGCCGCATCTGCTGGCCCTACGTCTCCATGACCTGGAAGCTCGACGGCCCCGTCACCGGCTCCCCCGTCACCAAGATGTCCTTTGCCTGCATGACTGGTGGCGCTGGCTCTGGCACCGCTTCCTCCGCTGCTCCCGCTTCCTCCGCTGCCCCTGCCACCAGCGCCCCCGCCGTCGCTTCTTCCTCCGCTCCCGTCGCCGCCGCCCCCTCCACTACCGAGGCTGTTGACGCCGTCGCCACCAGCGCCGTGAACTCCGCTGACCCCACCTTCGCCTCCGGCACTGCCCCCGAGCCCATCTTCGAGACCATCTCCGGCCCGGCCTACACCCCCTCCGCTTCCGCCCCTGCTGCCGTCCCTACCTCTTCCCAGGCTGCCTCCGTCCCCGCTGAGGCCCCCGCCTCTTCTGCCCCGGCTGCTTCCGCCTCTGCCCCCTCCGGAGCTCCCATCCCCATCTTCGAGACTCTGTCCCAGGCCCCTGCTTCCTCTGCCGCTCCCGTCCCCGGCACCACCGTCTCCGAGGCCAAGCCCGAGCTCACCGCCACTCCCTCCGGCGCTGCCTCCAAGACCAAGAAGACTCGCACCCGCACCAAGACCCGCGGCCCCAAGCCCACTGGTGCCCCTGCCCACAGCGGCAAGTGCAGCACCCGCACCACCATCAAGACCGTCTACGTCACCGCATAAATGAGTAGATGATCTGGTGCAAACCTACCTTGTGGGGATGATGAAAAAGAGGTTGATTCGAGAGGAGAGTGTAAGAGAGGCGGAGTTTGGGAGTAGCAGCATTGAGTACATCTCTTCAGCAAGGTGAAGAGAGTGTAGCTCGATGAGTTTTCATGTACATACTATGTACGACTTGTACACAAATTTCCCGCCTCGCATCTTCTTTTCCCTTGCTCATCCGCTTGGATCGAGGGAATACGAAGAGCGAGTCAAGGCCAATGGCCGATTTTGAGCAAAATTGAACAAAGACTCAGTTCATCATCGGCAGTATTCCGGCGCGCCTCCCAATTTGCTTTTTACGTTCGTGTGCCATGTCCTTTATTTTGCGGGCCTCTTAGTCCCAAGTGAGCAGTTGACTAGATCAATTATAGACATGACCGAAAGCGACGCGATGAGATGCGAGAGATTCGGAATCCGGCAGGTGAGTGTTGTGGAAAAGCCATGTGATGAACATGGAAGATGAGTCGTGCGCAGTTGTGAGAAACGATGGGGGGAAGAAGAAGAGGGAAATGAGAACCAAACAGTGAGCGACGACCTCGCTGAGATCAAAGCGGCACCTTAACACTGATGCTAACGGCCAGTTCCGAACCAATAGACCCGCCGATGGTCTTCATAAGCAACCGATTGTAGACAAGAACCAACTAGAGTTGCAATCATCTCTTTGTCAGCAGCCAGATGGACACCAAAGACCAGAGGGATTCCTCTCAGAAATCACTTTCCTACCAATGGATACCAACGGTCAACTTGTCTCAGTTGAAGCTAGTCCTGACTTTCTCTCTCCCAAGGATCGAAAGAAATAAGAGGCGGCCTAAACACCCACGAATGGGCAGACCAGCGGAGCCACATGGCGATGATGGCACGGGATGAACCCTGTCACACATCCTGCTGGCCTCAGGGGCGACCATCTGTCAGACTGTAAGGTACCGCGCTGCGACGAATCGACGATAACGGACCGCCATTGGGGGCCGCTTCCCTACCCTAAAAGAGCAAGAGGAGTAAAAGCCAACAGTCATGACAGGGTAGCATCAAGCCAATAACAATCAACATGTGGACTTTTACGTCCTAATTGGGCGGTTCTATCCGAGCTAGAGAGAACGGAATCCCCATTAAGCCCTTCTTCTCATCGATACATGGGAGATCATCAGGGGACCAGTTGAGTTTCGATGATCAACAAGGGATCCAATGACCGCGCATGCTCAGCATTTGAGCTTAACCCGTGTCGGTCTCTTTGGGAATAGAATCGAGTCCTGAGAAAAGGATCCCGTCTTCCCCCTCTCCCTGGTAGGACCCTGACTCTTGTCCCACCTGATTCCTACCTGACGGCGCATCGTCCGTACACGGGCAAGACTCCATGAGTCCATCACCAACAAAGGATGTATCTGGCCGAAAGCGTGCCTTTCGTGCTGTCACCCCCCTGGGGGAAGACGCGCGGAGCCCGTCAGCGGCATTGTTCCCAAGAGTCCAAGACACGTTGTCCGGCTATCATAGCCGTCCTCGACGAGAGGATGAAGAGGGCAGCGCGTTGGTTTCCTCCACCTCCGGACAGTATCCGGCAATATCCAAGACCATGTGGCCGTGGGAATAACCTAATCGAGTGGCTGCTAATCCGTCAACGTTGCATTTCATTGAACTACCAATCGCCTCTGTCTCCTTCATCCTACACTAACGATCCCTGCCATGGAGACGAGAGCCAGATAACCTCGTAGGCTCGTCGCCCGAATAGGCGGCATCACACCATCTTTCGGCTGCGTTTCCCCTCGTCCAGTCGTGCTTGAGATGCGCTCCCCGAAGTTCGAGGATACCTTGCTCGGTTTCCGTCCCGGCAGCTGCGCCATTGCCGACACACCAATCTGATCTGGCATATGGCTAATACTCCTTGGGTAAGGATAAGGAGAAAGCAAGGCATGCAGATAGAGACGATGGAAGGAGAGAAGAGACAAGCGGCCACCTTATAAGGCCTAGTGGCCGCCTCTCTCGTCAAGTCTCACGATGTTGAAGCTGTAGGCACCTCGTCGGTGATTCCGCGCTCACCAAGTCACTCTTTGAACATCAGCCAGGCCAGCTTCGTTGCTGTGCGTCCTCTCATTTCCCCAACGACATTCGTTCTGAATACCCAACACTCTTTGGTCCTCATTGACCTTGTTCTTCGATACCCTCATCATGATTCGCTCAAGTGTAATCGGCCGTTTCCTGGCCGGACTGCTGCTTGCTTCCGGCGCAGCAGCTCATACCGAAGGGTGCAGCTGCTCATCTGATGGCATCCAGCGCGTCACCTACATTGTCGTCGAGATGCCCGATCAGCCCGAACAAGCAGCCTCCTCCTCGTCCGCTTTCACAACCCTAACCACCGTCCCGACGCCAACGTCCACGGAGAGGTTCACCGCGCAAGCAGCGCACGTAATCGAGGATATCCCAGCCTACGAGCCCCTCGCCGTCAAGCCCGAGACCCTTCGTCCAGCTGTAAACACAACACACACCTTTGGCGCCACCGCCGCTCCCGGCATCGACACCAAAGACCCCATCAACATCGTCCCGGCCACAAATGTCTCGCTCTACTACGCGGCCACGGACACGGAGGAACAAGGTTCCATCGACATGAAGCTCGCGTTCAAGAACCCCGCCGTGGTCCTCGAGCACGTCGACGCCGTCAGCAACGTCGCCTGCGGAGACGACGAGCTCACCGTTTCCTTTTCCTCCGCCGACGCCTTTCACGAGGCTGTCAAAGACTGGTCCGACTCTGCCGAAGAAGGGTTTATCCTCATCACCAACCACATGGGCAACTGCGATGCCGAATTTGAACGGGGCTTCTTCCTCGCAACGGGCTTGACCTCCAGCAAGGGCGACCTATCCATCACGGTCGCAGCTTCAAAGGAGGAGCTCACCAACATCGCCGGCGAGTGCGAAATGTCCTTCACTTCCCTGCCGGCTGCCGCGCTCTCCAAGCGCCTCACCCTCGACCCGTCCGTCTCCCTCTCCTTCGCCGAGGGCATCGCCGAGAACACGGTCCTTTATAGCGACGGGCAGTACGTCAACATCACGGCCGATGAGGCCTGGTTCAGCTCCAAGATCACCTTCTCCGGCTACCTAAAGTACAACTTCTGGGGCTTCAAACTGCAGGCTCTGTACTTTGACCTAGACACGACCTTTGACTCGGCCGTCGGCGTCTCGGTCGACGTCGCCGCCTCCTACAGCCACGCGCTCAAGTACGCCCCGGACGCGTTATCCTACTCCCTCGTATCCGTCCCCGGTGTCGTCGAGCTCGGTCCGGGCGTGGCTTTCGCTGTGGGCTTAGACTTTGACGTCTCTGCTGCCGTCGGCGTCACGGCGGGACTGAGCGTGAGTCTGCCGGCGGGCAACGTTCATCTCGACCTCCTGCACGGGGAGAAATCGTCGGCGAGTGGGTGGGAGCCAAAGTACAGCAGCTACGCCAACATCACCGAGTCGGCTGATGTGCGCGTCGACGCCTCAGCGGACGTTACCGTGCAGCTGGCGTTCAAGTTGCTCGGCGGGCTGGTCGATCTCAGCTCCGGCATCACGGCGACGCCAGGGTTCGATAACGTGTTCAAGCTGCGCGGGGAGCAGAATCTCGGGGTCAGCGGCAGCGTTGGCGGCAGCAGCAGCAGCAGCAGCACTATCGGGGGCGGTAACTTTACGAGTAAGCCGGCCGAGGTGGCACAAGTCAGTGTTGATGTGCCCCAGGACGGGTTGATCTGCGCCGAGAAGAATGGGGTCGAGTTTGCGACGGACTTCTACTTCAACTTGACTGGCTTCGCAACAAAGTGGTGGAGCGGCGAGCTTTACAGTACCCGGGTGCCGCTTTGGGATCTGTGTTACAGCTTTTGAGGTGCTTCACACCAGTGGTGACGTGCTCTTGGCATGTCTTACGACTTCTCCTTTCTTCAATCATGATGTATACTAAGTAGTACCTTAATACCTATTTACCTTGTTCGTACTTACGCAGTATGGTGGGACTCCTGTTCAAGGGTCTCTAAGTTCTTCTTCTTGCTTTACGCAAGAAAACTGCATAAAATTATCGAGTTATGTCCACGTCTTCTTTTCATCGAAGACTCTCTCAATGTTGCTCAAGCCTAACCACGAACGCAGACTTCGATGGCATAATATGGGTCTACGATGAGTATATGCCGCACCAAGACGTGATCAACGCGGGTTTCGCAGACGATCACGAGTTCCAGAGCCACAGAAAGCGAGCGGCAGATGCGAGGGAAATTCCAAGAATAGACGCACCTCTACTCAGTGGCGGGGAGAAAGACAAGAACCCGACGTGATCTGCCGCCCGCCTCTCAAAAAAGAACGAAGACCGAAACCGGGACGGGAAAGGAGCCTGGTCTCGACTCAACTCCCGGCCCAAGATGATTGGGTCCGGACTGGAGGTGGAATCTTCCGTCACTGTCAAGGACACTCGAGTCGATCGTTCGGAATAGTTCTCAAACCCCCACAATCCACCATCACATCAGTCGAGCCGCTGGCTGGACCTCTGTGGCCCCTCCCTCCTCCCCGCCGCTCCGGCCCAGGGTTGTGGTTCCCCCCGTCCACTGTAAATCAAGCTTACTATGGTGATATTGGAGCTTATTTGCTGTTAATGTTTAAAAAATTCTTATTCCTCCTAGGCCGTGCTCTCTTTACCCCCTTTTTCTTTTATGTGGTGAGGTTGTGTACCGGGGTGTGATGTTTCAGGAGTCTGACATCCCGAGTTACGGATGGCACATGACGTTTATTCGTCCATCGGATGAGCTGGAAGAACTTGGGTTGAGCGTCACCTAACAACTTTGAGTTGGCAGTCTGACAGCCAAGGGGAACCCCAGACGGACGTTTTGGAGGTGGGCTTGGCGCATTGCGTGTTGAGCTTTTTCTGTCTTTGCTCATAGTTCAGATGGATGTTGTCGACCTGAGCAAACTTGCCAAGAGTATTTGAAGTGGTAGTTGAAGGAACAGAATGCCCCTTTAGCCAAGACTTAGCCAAGACCTTTTTCTGGAGGGATGTTGAGACAAACCGAACTCCTGAGACTGCTGAAATGCGACTCCGCGAAACTTTTGTGGAGAAGTCTCCGTGGTGGAGCTGTGAATGTCAACTTCAGCCAAGACCAACCCACAACCTTTCCGCCATCAACAACAAGGGCTTCAATTTGCCTGTCACTTTGACGGTGACTTCGCCATAATACATCGAGGTGCCGAGGAGTTTAGACGTTGGAGGCAGGGTCGATCTGAGAGGCCGCTCCGAGAGTCTGGCACATGCCATGGTTAGAGAGTGGTGACTCGGATCCGTTGATCCAATGGTGGTTTGTTTCACGAGTGTTCTTCTCCCCTGAGGCTCATGGGATGATGGTATTGGCATCATACTCCATGGTCCGTCACGTTGTGACCCACGGGCGGCTGGAGTTCAGCGCAAGAATACCAGATGATGGCGCAAAGACAGGGGGAACATATGGAGTAGGCAGACCTTAATTGTGAGGTGAAATCGACTGGCAAGTTGGGATATAAAGCATGGCTTCTTGGCCGCTGGTGATAACGCTTACTCTACTTCTTTACCCTCACCTCAATCCATCCATCACCAAGCTCTTCTCCTTCTCCTTTTTCCCTTGAGCCAGTCTCATTCTCTTCAACACTACTCGGGCAGTAGTTGTTCTTTCACGTGTACTTTATTCTCTTTCCATTCTCACCTTCTCTTTACTACCATATCTCTCTCTTCTCCCTACACTTCAATATGAAGTTCTCCACAGCAGCCATTGCCCTTCTAGCCGGCGTCGTCGCCGCGGCGCCCGCCTCCGAAGTCTCCCGCAGCCGCGAGCGCCGCGCCGGAGGCAGCGAACTCATCCAGCAGCTCCAGTCCACCTTTGACCGCAATAACCCGAACGGCACCCCCGCCGCGGCCGGAGACCCTGACGACCTCAACGGTGATGGTGTCATCAACGTCTTCGAGGCAGGAGCCCAAGCCAGCAAGCGTAAGCGCGGTGGTGGCGGTAACGGTGGCCAGCAGGCTGCTGGTGCCGGTGCTGGGGGCAATGGTGCCCAGGCCAAGGGTGGCAATGCCGGCGGTAACGCCAACAACCAGAACAATGCCGGCAATGCTGCGGACGAAGAGGACGCCGCGGCTGGCAACGGTGCTGCCGCTGACGACGGGGAAGATGCAGCTGCCGGTAACGGCAATGCCAATGCAGGCAACGGAAACGCGGCCGCAGACGATGAGGATGCGGCTGCCGGCAACGGCGGCGCTGCTGCGGATGACGAAGAAGACGCTGCTGCTGGCAACGGCAATGCCGGTAATGCGAACGCCGGTAACGCCAATGCTGGAGCCGGCAACGCGAAGGCTGGTAAGACCAAGAACGCCGGTAACGGTGCTGCCAACAACGCTGGCAACGCCAACAATGCTGGAAATGCTGCTGCTGGCAACGGTGCTGCCGCTGACGACGAGGAGGACGCTGCCGCCGGCAACGCTGGCAATGCCGCCAACAACAACAACAACAATGCAGGCAACGCAGCCGCCGAGGAAGATGCCGCAGCTGGAAATGCCAACGCCGGGAACGCAAACGCCGGTAATGCCAACGCTGGAGCAGGAAACGCAAAGGCTGGCAAGAACAAGAACGCCGCCAACGGCGCTGCCAACAACGCCGGTAACAATGCCGGCAACGCCAACAACAACAATAACGCTGGCAATGCCGCTGACGAAGAGGACGCTGCTGCTGGCAATGCAGGCAACGCCGCCGATGAGGAGGACGCCGCCGCTGGAAATGGCAACGCTGCTGCTGATGACGAAGACGCTGCCGCCGGCAACGGGAACGCCAACGCAGGCAATGCGAACGCTGGAGCTGGAAACGCAAAGGCCGGCAAGAACAAGAATGCCGGCAACGCCAACAACAACGCCGGTAACGCTGGTAATGCCGCCGATGAGGAAGACGCCGCTGCAGACAACGGAAACGCCGCTGATGAAGAAGATGCTGCCGCCGGCAACGGCAACGCTGCTGACGAGGAGGACGCCGCTGCCGGTGGCGCCGCGAACAACGGGACTGCCAACGCCGGCGCTGCTGCCGGCGGTGCTGGTGCGGGCAAGGCTAACAAGGCGAGCAAGGCCAAGGCCTCTCGCAACGGCCGCTCTCTCAACCTCTACGCCGCGCGCAACATTGCGCGCGGCCGTCCCTCCCGGCGCACGTAACTTCTCTTTGGGTGCTGAGGAGTCTGTCTTTCATGCCGCTGCTGGTGGTAAAGGGGACTCTGATGACCTAGACAATCCCAAAGGCGCCGGTGATGACTCTGAACAGACTGGTGGGCCAAAGGGCACAGGCAAAGGCAAGGGCAAGGGCAAGAACAGGTCGAAAGGCAAGCCTTCGTCGTATTCGTCTAGGAAAGGCGACGAGGGCGGAAATGGGCCTGGGAAGGATGGCCGACCTGATCGGTCTGGCGATGGCCTCAGGGTGGAAGAAAGTCCCGCAATGATCGGTCGCCCTGATGGTCCCGGGTCTGGGCTTGGGTTTGCTGAGTTGTCCGAGTTTTTTGAGATTCGGTGTGATGAGTGAAGAAAATAAAATGGTAATTCAAAACTGGCGTAGCGTTTTCTTGGTCGGTAATGTGAGGGAATACCTGTCTTTACAGTTCTATACCTAATTCAATGAGATGGGGTGATATCATTAATCGAGTACGAGCTGATATGTGCCAAATGTCTCCTAATGCCTATTGGCATGGTCATCTCAATATTGAGTAGAAGATGGCTTACATAAAAGGGTCATGTTGGATCTCTGGAATAGGGACATGCATGGAGTCAGCGTTTGACCAATTGAAATCTTAGGCGCTGAGCTACAAGGGAAGCCACTCTAATTTGTGTATTGACTGTAGTTGAGTTGTGAAGTTAGACCATCCATTTCAACCATCAGGCCTAACGTCACGAACCGGACTATGCGTGCGGGATTGTGGACCGACCTAAGTAACTACATGTAGTAATCAGTTACCAAAGATCGCGATTCTAGCCTGGATCAGTCAACATACATTAGCTTTTCCGAAGTTGCCGCTGCTATACCGTCGACCGGAGCTGCAGGTCCGGCTTCGAGTTCGCCACGGCCCGCCGAGACATAGCAAAGTGGGACCGGGCGCCGGACGGCTCCAAGACTTCTATGACGATGTTGTTGCGTCAATCTTTTCGACGTCACTAACTGGTCACCTAATATCCGAATTACAAACCACTTACTTCCCATATGAAATCTGAATGCACGTTGTATAAGATTCAAGAAGAAGACCGTCGCACTCACTAATTAGACTTAAAATTACCTTATAGACAAGATACCCCTGATCATCAACCGAAGACCACCGCGCTAGAATTATACTCAAAGTACCTTGGAGAAGAGAAGAGAAACAGAAGCTCCTCAGACAATAGTAGAAGAGAGAAAAGGCTCACAAAACCACCGCCATGAGTTCACAAAGCTCAGTCTTCCAGCTAAGCGGCACATGCAACAACTACGACTGGGGCAAAAAGGGTCGCGACTCGCTCGCCGCACGCCTCTGCGAAAACACCCCAGGCGGCTTCACAATAAACGACAATGAAGCCTACTCAGAAATGTGGTTCGGCGACTACCCCGACTTTCCCGCACGCGTACTGGAGACAGGCGAGCTCCTCAAGGACATCCTAGACAAGAACAAGGAACAGCTGCTCGGCAAAAAAGTCATCACCGAGCTCGACGGCCAGCTCCCCTACCTTCCCAAGATCCTGTCCATCGCAAAAGCCCTACCCCTCCAGATCCACCCAAACAAGTCTCTCGCCAGCAAGCTCCACGAGCAGGACCCCGAAAACTTCACCGACGCCAACCACAAGCCCGAGATTGCTGTGGCACTGGGTCCGTTTGAGGTCTTTGCCGGGTTCAAGCCTCTGGACCAGATCTCGCCCGTGTTCAACATCCCTGCCCTGCGCGACCTGATCCCCGATGGGACGACTAGGTGGACCGACGAGACGTTACGGGAGGTCACGCGCCGCATTCTTCTCGCCGATGAAAACACTGTCGAAAAGGCCTCCAAGGCTCTCGGCGGCACCCCGCGCGAGGAGCTGGGCGGGAACGGCTACGTGCTGGATCTTCTGCCGCGTCTGCAGGATCAGTTTGGTAAAGGCGACAACGGCATCCTGGTTGCGCTGTTGTGTATGAATTTTTTGTCGCTGGAGGCTGGCGATGCGTTGTATATCCCTGCCGATGGCATTCATGCTTATCTGTCTGGGGACATTGTGGAGTGCATGGCTCGTTCGAACAACGTCCTCAATACGGGCTTCTGTCCGCCCGGCGACAGGAACAACATTGATTTGTTCAGCAAGACGTTGACTTTCAAGGCGCATAGCAAGAATGACGTGCTTTTACCTGCAGAGAAGAGTTCTCGCGGCACACAAGGGCGTACGGTCGTGTATCCGCCGCCATTGAGCGAGTTCGACATGTTGAAGACGGATTTGGACGAGGGCAGCAAGACGGAAGTTCTGAAGGCGGGTGAAGGACCCTCGGTTGCTATCGTCACCGACGGCGAGGGAGTTTTGGAGGCGGACGGGAAGAAATTTGACGTCAAGGCTGGTCATATTTACTTTGTTGCTCCCGGCATCGAGGCCAAGTGGGAAACCAAGGGGAAGATGCAGGTCTTTACGACTGTGGTCTAATCGTCCTGGCGGTCAGACTTTCAGTAGAGGATGCACAACAGATATTACATATTTAGAATATGAGAAATGCGACCTGATGAGGCAATGGTCTGGGTTCTCTTCATCCTGTATGATAAGTATTTTGAAACAATGGCCGCTACAGCGATAGAATTGAACTGCACCGACTTGAGCGAAGTGACAATTCACATGTCTCGAAGTAAGAAAGATGAGCTTGATTTGATCGTAATGTCGAATGGTCAAGTAAATTTTGTTCATCGAATTAGACTTACGTGCTATTGGAGTATCTATTCTAACATCATTCAAAAATAAGAGTATCACACTATGTCTCCCGGACGACTATAACCGCACATTCAGTTTTCTGACGCCTGCTTATAACCGCTTATGTTTCAAGCCCGTGGTCGATGATCTCTCCGTCTCGCACTCTTGATGGCACTCTCAACCGCCAAAGGTAGATCGAGATGGAAGAACGGCCTGTTGATAGCCCCAACAGCCGCGAGGTGCCGAATTCCTCCCTCTTTGGACCCCATAACACCCTGCTCCATAGCCGATGAGGAGGAAGACTGCTCGGAATCACTTGCCACACACGCCGACTTCGACCTCGTTGTAACAAGTTGCTGCTCGCACATCATCGGCGGCCGCCCTGCCAAATCAGCCAGACTGAAAACCGGCTCCCACCCCTCCAAATGACCCGTCCTCGGACACCCAAACCCAGACACCGACAGCGCGCGCCGCGTCCACCGGTTATGAACACCAGCAAAGTGCCACTCCACTGGCTCCGGTGCCGCCCACCTATCGAGTTGGTTCCGCAGGTCAATCAAGCCCTCCACGGCGCCCGAGTCCATGTTATTCACGGCAGCGCAGTCGAATATGACGGCCCGGAGGATCGGCTTCAGCAATGATGGGGACTCGTTATCGGTTTCAACTGTCGAGGGTGGCGGAACGGACTCGTTCCAGGGGCGGTCGCCTGGGTGGTCGTAGTGTGGTGTCGTCGTGCGGCGGGTGGAGTGCGTGACGTGCTCGATCAAGCGGTCAACGTACTGCGCTTGGTTCAGGTAGTTGAAGCCCTCGGTGAAGCGGTAGATAAACACCCCTGGGCAGAGCTCATTGACTTGGACAGCTGGGTTGGTGCCGTCTTTGCGATCTAGCGGGAGGAACACGTCGTGTGATGCCGGGAGACGCGGCGACGGGGGGGCTTTGCCGTGGAAGAGGGTCTGCGAGCTGCTGATGGAGTGGTGGTCCGAGTCTTTGTGGTCGAGGGTGGCGCTGGTGCGGTGGTCCGGGTGCTGGTAGACGCGCGCGGCGCCGAGGAAACGGCCTTTGGAGCGGGCGAGGCGGAGGAGGAGAAGGGCTGCAGAGAGGGCTACTGTGACGTAGATGCCGTCTTCGAGGCTGGTGAAGATGGAGACGAAGACGCCAATGAAGTAGATGAAGACGTCAGGCGGTGACATGAGCCATGACTTGAAGATGTGGTCTGGAGAGGTTATGAGGTTGATCACGGCGTGGATGATGAGAGCTGCTAGGCTGGCCATGGGAATGTAGTAGAGTACTGAGGTGAGAGCGTATAACGCAAGGAGGAGAATCGCTCCGTTGAAGACGCCGGCCATTGGTGTCCTCACTCCGGCTTTTGAGAGAATTGCGGTGCCGCCGAAGGAGCCTGTCGAAGAGTATGCGCCTAAGAAGGGGCCGAATAGGTTGGTGCATCCGATTGAGATAAGTTCCTGAGATGGCTGGACAGTATAGTTGTTGATGCGACCAAAGGACTTGCCGATAGCAATGTGCTCAATCACAAGAATGATGACCGTAGCCGGTAGATCTGGCAGCAGCGCCGAGATCAGCTTTGTGTTCAAAGAAGGCGGGCCAGCGTGTGTGAAGCCTTTGGGCAGTGTCCCTGTTATACGGAACTTGTGCTCCCCGTTCTCTAGCCCACGGTTCACCAAAAAGCTGATAAGTGTGTATAGCAAGATAGTAAAAGTCATGCGCAGCGAGCAGAGCATCTCCCACATACGCTTCCGCTTAGGCTGCGATCTGGCCATGCGCTCCGTGTACCACTTGATGGCAGCCAGCAGCACCAGAGCCGTCAGCCCGATGGCGGCATCGAGCTTAACGCGGGGCAGACCACGGGCCGTGTTGATGAAGACGCGATAAGCGGCCTCTTTGGAGTTGACGCCGTCGATGCCGAGGAGGGATGGAATCTGGCTGAGGGTGATTGTGATGGCGGCGCCGGTGACGAAGGCGGAGATGGCAACGTGTGGGATGAACTCGATGATCCAGTCGAGGCGGAGAAGACCGAAGACGAGGAGGACGGCACCGGCGAGGAAGGCAAGGGTTTTGGAAATTTCTTCTGGTTGGAATTCGCCAGGGTGTTCTTCGAGGACTTTGGCGCTGACTTTGCCGACGAGGAGGGAGACGACGGCGGTTGCCTGTTATACAGTCAGTATGAAATTGTTACAAGGATGCAGCACTATAAGCATCTTACTCCTATCGCAATATCCTTGGAGGTTCCGAATATCCAGTAAAGAGCTGCACCAGTGAATGATGTGTAAAGTCCATATTCAGGACTTAGGCGGGCGAGGAGGGCATAGGCCATAGCTTGTGGGATGACGACGAGACCAAGTGTGACACCTAAGTAAGGGATTGTTAGTTGATGCCGCCAAGTTGCCTGGCCTGGAACCCCGGAAGTGCTTACCCGCAATAGCATCTGAGATGAGCCAGCGAGTGTTGTATCTCAAAATCCATTTCGTAAAGGGAAATAGGCTTTTGACATAACGAGCTGATCCTTCTTTTGTTGGTACTTGATCCAACAGCCACTCCTTTACTGTGGGATCCTCCTCATAGTACGGTTCGTATGGAGAAATGGCGTTGACAACGTGGTCGTGGAGTTCTTGTGTCTGGTGG